TGCACAGCACTCTTGATCTTCTTTCTACTGTATAGTTACTTGTAGATGTGGACAATTCTTCTGGAGCACAAGACAGACTTTATGAGAACAGAGAAGCATATGGCACCCAAACACTTCTGTCTGCCCCTTTGAGACACTGTATGCTGTGGGGATTCATGCTTGGTTGCCAGAAGGTTTTTGAAAACATAACATCCATAAGTATTTCTGGGAGTTAGTATGAACTACTCCATCTTAACCCACATCTTTAGTTACTTAAACTAAAAGTAATATTAAGATTGAATTTGAGACCCTAAGATTGTGACATATCTTAATTCAAAGTAGAATAACGCCAGTTGGCGTACTTTTAATATTCAGGATATTTTAGCATATTAGTGCTTTGTAAATTGTTGCCCCTATATTATACTCACAGAGGACAAAAACATTTAGGCAAATTCTTCCATCAACCCAACTACTCAGATAAACAGTGTATTACTGTATATAATTACTTTTATTTTGCTTCAGAAAGGATATGGACAACTTAATGCATGAGATCACTTTGAGATTCACTAAATGATACTAATGTCAAATTAAAAATTACACAAATGAGGGACACCTGGATGGTTCAGTGGTGGAATATCTGCCTTTGGCTCACGTCGGGATCCTGACTTTCCCCCAGAATGGAGTCCTGCATCGGGCTCCCTGCAGGGAGCCTGCATCTCCCTCTGCCTATGTCTCTGCCTCTCTATGACTCTCATGAATAAATAAATAAATAAAAATATTTAAAAAAATTTACACAAATGAGCTAATAATCAAATCTAAGAAAGGAAAAGTGGAATCCATAAGAAGGGGAAAGCAGGTTCACTTTCACAAATTGTAACTGGGCTTATAAAAACCACAGCACGTTAATTTGAAACCTGCTCTGGGCTCTCACAGCACTTACGATATTGCAGTCCTGGCCTTGTGGCTTATCTGTCCTCCCTTCTAGGTTACAGCTTCCAAGAAGGTAAGAGCCACATCTTGCTAATTTTTATAGACTGGGAGCACAACACACAATACACAGATAACCAAAACCTATACTGAACAACCAAAATAACTTATTTCTATAAAACAGAATTCTGGAGAGGTTAATTTCAGTAACCCTACATCAACAGGCTGCCTGTATTAATGGTATAGATGTTTTAGCCCTTCCAACTTAAAGGAAATTGAGCCTCCTTCTGGGAATTTTCAGAGAAAGAATACAAAGAATAGTAGAGAAAAATGAACCATTCACTGCAACGACTAAAACTATAAATGCTCTTCAAACAATAATCATGATTTTAGCAATACTTCAATTTTCTTCTCTTTGAGGTTCCAATATGGTAACAGATGCAAAGGCTCAAAACCAATGCCTCTTAAAAATATCTCCTTATAAAAAATGTATGCTTATTGTTCTGGAAATGTATTAAAATTTCAACACACTTATTGTTAAAACACATGCATTTTCTTATTTCCAGGTAACCCTCTGAGTAGGATGTTATAAGCTATGTTTTTTATCTTCTTATAAAGTAATAAGGGTAGGACACTTAGTTTTTTTTTTTTTAATTTAAACAGAAAGGCTAAACTGCTAACACTTTTACTCAAATCAAACTAAAATAATGTAAAATGATGGTAAGATTAAAAAATTTACGTTGGCAACCCTAACACTGAATTGCAATACTCTAGATGATTTGCAAGTTAAGGGGAGATAAGATTCTAAGGAAAAATAAAAACATCTCTCCTCAAGTATACCAATAGTCTCATCAACCTCCTTTCTTGAGAATTTTTCCACTACCTATTCAGATATAAAAGAACAGCTGACATGCAAACCAGTCAAAATATGGATAAGCATGCAAGAGGAGAGGAGAGAGGTGAGGAGATGATGTTCCAATTTCACAAAATTAGAGTATTAAATTCATATAATAAAGAAGGGGGTATGGAGATTTAAGATTAATTGCATGTTAGAAGAAACAGAATTGTCACTCAGCTACACTCTTGACTGCTAAGTTGTGAATTCAGGACAATTGCTTTTAGAATGGCTTTTTACCACAGGAAAGAAGGAAAGAAGGAAAGAAGGAAGGAGAAGGAGAAGGAGGAGAAGGAGAAGGAAGGAGAAGAAAAGGAAAAGGAAAGGAGAAGGAGAAGGAGAAGGAGAAGAAGGAAAAGGAAAGGAAAGGAAAAGGAAAGGAAAAGGAAAAGGAAAGGAAAAGGAAAAGGAAAAGAAAAGGAAAAGGAAAAGGAAAAGGAAAGGAAAAGGAAAAGAAAAGAAAAAGAAAAGAAAAGAAAGAAGAAAGACACACCTGACAGATACAATCAAATTTTAAAAAGCCATTTACGTGGTACTTTGTTAAGGGGTGAAAAAAGGAAATGAAGTATTTCATTCTTATATCAAATTTTCTTCAGTTTGCATAAAAGATCAGCAAGAAGCATTTTTCTTTCTCCACAGAAGTGGTAGGTGTGTGTAATGAGAACCAAACATGTATGTGCAACACAGGGTGGGTGTGGACACGTGCTACCCACATCAGCCTTAACCTAATGAAAATGGAGTTTTTGATTTCAGAGAAGAGTCTCTTGACAATCTGGCACTAAATCTCACAGACCAGCAGTTAATCCAATGGGTGAATTAAACTTTGCTGGCAGAGCAGAGTAAGATCTCTTCCTTCCATTTGGCTTTTCTTCAGCTCAAGTGAATTGTGAGGACAATTCCCATTTGTTTAAAAAAAAAAATGATGATGATTAAATCAGCACAACAGAATGTCGTCAGCATCTGACCCAAACTTTATAACTAGCAGATGAATGCACGTATTCCCATAAAAATTACTCATTCAGTAATATTTGAAAGCTATCAGATGTGTCATTCAAAAAAAATTTTTTTGCACATTCTACTTCAATTAATATGCAGTTGGAATTCTTACTGTAGATAACACTGCCTTCAACTGAAGCTGAGAACCTCTTAGCTCAAGAGGGTAAGTTCGTGAGCCTGAGCCCAGGAGCCCCCAAAATGCGTATAAAGACCTACTCACCACACTGTTCTTTCCCTTCAACTTTGTTTATTGATGTACTGAACATGAAAAAGTACAAAGAATCCAAACACAAAAGAAAACATGTACAGCCTCTTAAATACTCAACAGAATATATTTTCTATTCCAACAGATGTGAATTAAGTCATACTGTACAACTTCAAATAAATACCAGCCTTACATTTTATTAAGTGCTCTGATAAACACTGTAAAGTGAAGCACAATTTGCATGCCCTCTCATCAATGCCTTGGTTTGCTACAGTAGTATAGGAAAGAAGCATGTAGCTGCTGTTTTCCCATGAGGGAAACCTTACTTTTTTTTTTAAGTATATACATGTATTTTGTTTTTTAGTTTTTTTTTTTTTTTTTAACGCAGAAGGTTAACTCTGACAATCTAAATGCACCTAAGGATATGAGAAAGTGCTAAGCCAATTGATTTCTGAATAGCATTGAGTGGGTCAGCATGGAAACTCGCTTATTCACTTTAGCACGCGCCTCACAGTATATGTACTGTACTATACTGAAAAATTTTATAACTACAGTTTTAAATAATAAAAAATAAAACTCAACGCAACCGCAAAGATAATGTACAACTATGTTAATGCATAGCACATTGCCTGTTCTAAGGGGAAGCATGTGAGCATCTCAGTTTATACAAAAAGCAGGACGTAACTATATAGTTCTCAGTGCATCCTGATGAAGGCATTTTTGCCTTCAGCTTTTTTGAAAATTTATTATAAGCTAGATGCTAATCAGAAAATATTTTGTATTTTTTAAAATTTCTTTCATACATGGTAAAGACTTATTTTATTATTTCCCCAAATAGTGGTTTAAGCATCATACAAAGTTAAATTTCAGTAGCATACAGATATTTATGATTTTTGTATGAAAAATGTAAGGAAATTTGTTCAAAACCTATGGTTATACTCATTTTTTTTTACCACAAACATATTTATAAACAAAAATGTAGCATCACCATAAACAGCTGAAGCTAGACTATCTACAGACAAAATTAGCAACAAATCTGATGCACTGTAAATTCAAGTCCTCAGGACAACAAAAGTGAGTAAGCAAGACCTCAAGTAACAATGTTAATGCCATTTACAAAGGAAAAAACTGATACAAAAACATTCAAAACCTGAACATCACTTGGCATGTAAGGGAAAAAAAAAATCAAATTAGCTGAAAGGTTCATAAACACAAGGTCTTATTTACATTACACAAAGCTCAGGTGTTAGCCTTGAACGTAACTTTCAAAATACCTTCAAATATATCCAACTCAGATCACTTTTGCCGATTTGCTGCAGTACAAATCATGTGCAACATCTTTTTTCCTTAAGACAAAACAATTCTTCAAACAATACTGCAAGTACATCACTAAACACCATGAGCTCTATCTGAAGGGATTTCTTTAGGAAGAACAGATTTTTTTTTCCCCCGTCTCTTGGTAATTTAAATTTCTTGCCTGCTCTTATATATCTTTTGTAAATTTTTTTTGTTTCAAAATCACAAATCAATGTGAGCCACCTATCACATAATAACCAGGATGATCAAACGCTCCACTGGTGATTACAAAAACGAAACCAGCAGTGTTTCCCCCATTGATTCTACTCCTTTCATACAAAGATCTCAAAAGTAGTATTTTCTACATCATAAATCTTTCTAAATTTTCCAACCGCTGCAAATTTCCTGGTAAATTTTAAAAGCTCACTAGGTGTCATATGAAGAGATTTCTCAAAGTATTCAAGTCAAAATATTTGTTCCAGGACCAGTAAAAAGTTTCTCCAAATTTTCTTTTTTATAAAAATAGATGCTTTTTTTAAACCCACATCAAAGAGGCTCTTATCTCTTTGGCAAGGTACTGCTTTACGAAAAGTTCTCCAGTATTCTTACAATAAGCGTTTATAATGTAGCCCCCCCCTTCCCCAACCCAAATCATAATTACAAAATAAATACTGTTTTAACTTCATAAATAAAAATGTAAACTTCAAAATACTTTTCTTAGACATAACAGCAATGCTTTAAATGTAAACCAAACACAAAGCTAATCAGAAAAAGAAATAAAAGGGGGAAAAAAAGACACAACCAACTGAAGAATTACAACACAAAGCCTCAATATTTACTCACAGGTTCAAGGCAGTTATGTAAAAAGAAAAGAAATGTCTTCCCTTAGCTGAAACACTTTAAAAGGTCCACCTTCTTCAAAGAAGGCAATAGAATGCAATGTGACAGGTAAAAACCCTGTACCTCTTGTCCATATTCAAACATAAAAGATATTTAAGAAGTTTTAATTCAAATACTAGCAATAAAAAATCTCACATATTTCTTAGGATGCTAAGTAGTCGTTTTATCCCCATCTCAACACTGACTTACAAAGACATTTACTAATGTATAAAGTTTCTCTTAACTTGCCTTTGTTGTATAGTTTTCATATATAAATGGACTGAGGACAAGAGCTCATTAGGCTTTGTGCGTTTTGTTTGTCTTAAAGGAGACCTGCAGTACTCTGTCTCCCAGACGGTATCCATTGAGGCTAGCTATCGCCATGGCGGCCTCATCATAGTTTGTCATAGTCACAAATCCAAAACCTTTGCATTTATTGGTGTTAAAGTCACGGATGACCTTCACGTTGGTGACAGCTCCAAAAGGCCCAAACATTTGCCACAGGATACTCTCATCTGCGTCAGGAGCCAGGTTGTACACAAAAATACACCACCCTGTTCCTGGGTGCCCAGGGATATTAATTCCAGCCAAACTGGTCATTCCATCAATGGTCATTGGAGAAAACCTACTAAACAAAATAGGAAACACACATGCACACACACACATATGCACACACACACAAACACACAAATAGAAACAGAGGTTGGTTACAGTAATGGACTATTTCTTTTCCCCTCCCATCCCAAGAGTTTCAGTAACCCCCTCCCCTCCAACAGATACATACAACTATCTGATGTTTCAACCAAGGTCTGTGTGTGGCTTGCAGTGACATGCTATATTGACAAGGTATTAATAAATTATGAAATGGACATTATATGCTGTATTGAATAATATGACCCACAATAGCAAAGAAATATATTTTGAATATATTTACAAGTGGCTTCGTGAATTAATAAGCAGGATTAGGGGGAGGGTACCAACACATACATACACATGCTATAACGTCGCAATGCAATATAAAACAAATGGGGTTTTTTAAGACCAGGTGGCATCCAGTGGTATAAAAACACTTGAGTCAACCGTGCTTCAAAATGCAGCTTTTCATTAAGTTACACATGCAAAAGAAAACTGAACAAACTTATGAACTTATGAAGGGTCACTCCCCAAATCAAAGAAACTAATCAATCATGGGAAGGGATGAGTATCATGAACCTCTATCATTACCTCTTTACTCCATAAGCCATATTGAGCAGATTGTCCAACCTGCAAAACATACATTTAGCAAACTTCAGTTTTTAATTTTCCCCTTGATGTTCAAGAAAGCTGGATTTGTTACTGCCATCTTCCAAGGGGATATTTGTATGTTAACTCTATGTGAAATCTCAAAAGACCCATATGTGGGTCTTTTCATATTCCTGAGAGAATGAGTACCCATTGCCATTAGGACGTTCTTCTGATGGATAGTTTATGGTTACAGCAATCAGGGACATACAGGGGAAATTTAGGTGGTTGTTTGAGGAAACCACTCAGAGAGGAAATGTGGAGGCTATGGAACAGTTTTTCTTTGGGTTCTCACCTATTGCTAGGTAAATTCTAGGTGCTCCACATGCACCTTCATGTACTTTATAGTACTGTGAAAGAAAGAAAAGAAAGAAAAAACAGAAAAGAAAGAAAAAAAAAGAAAGAAAACCAGATTCAAATGGAGTCACCTGTGCTGAGCCCCATGTAAGCAAACCAAGACTTAGTATCTAATCTAATAGGAGGTTCGAGAATTCAAACTTTAACCAATCTAGAATTACCTGGTCAGCCCTAGCGACATAGTCTGCCTGAAGAGACCCCTAACTCTTCCCCCAAAGGAAGGTGACCTTGCCTGAAACAATCCACTCTTTGTTAGAAATGGCCCTTTTCCTGCTCCCTTCTGCCCATAAAAGCCTTCCATTTTGTACAGCTTCTTGGAGCTCCATTCTATTTCTTAGGTGAAATGCTGCCTGACTCATGAATTGTAGAATAAAGCCAACTTGATGTTCAAATTTATTCAGCTGAATTTTGCTTTTTAACCATTAAGTTTTATAATTCCATTGACTGCTGATAACTCCAAGGCACACAGATTAAGTGACTTGCCAAAGACCACAGGGCTCATAAAAGTGGTGACACCAATATTCCATAAATTACCCTTCAACCTCTCAATTCTGAAGGACTTTCATTTCTTACAAAATGATGTATTATAGTGATGGAAAGAACCTTACAGATAGTATCAACTCAATCTGCCATTTCTCCATGTGTTCAACTAAGGTCCAGAGAAAGACAAAAGACTCCTTGCTTCTGCAAGCAACAGGGCAAAGAGTTCAGAGCAACAGGGCAAAGAGTTCAGACCCTGAGACTGATACTTATTCTGACTATACTACAGGAAGTGCAGCCCTGCTCAAGGTGGAAGAAGCCAGGTAGAAACAAAGCAACCAACTTGAGCTTCTCTTAAAATTTCTAAAACAAAGGGCTGGGGTGGGTAGGTACCCTTTAAATCTCTCCATCCTTTTCCCATTTCAAAAGTTAAGTTGATTTTATAATACTTGATTCTTCTTGCTTTGTCAGTTTCAAAAGAGAGGATTCTGACGTTCCAAATTTCCATTATGTATACCAATTAATTACATGTGTTTAGAAGAAGTAAATATCTTAATTCACTGTAGACAAAACCACCCTCAAATGCCACAATGTTCAACACTCTCCAAGTGAGACCCTGAGGCAGGGGGAACAATTTTTTTTTTTCTTTCAACACCTATGAAAGGTAAGTCTGAAAAATGTTTCAATGTTATTGTCTAACTTGTGGCCTCAAGTAAGGCTAGGGCACACATGAGAAAGCAATTGCTTCTAGTTTTATAAAAGCCAAAAAAATATCTCTTTCTGGTCTTTTAGAATTGGAAAAAGAATCTTCACACATTCCTATTCCCAATCACCTCTGGGCATTCTGGGTTTTGTAAAAATGGAAAGAAATAACTGAGCTGATGTAATGCAAAGTGTAAAGAAACAGAACAAATCTCAATGACAAAGGATCCTCATCTGTATGTGTCTTTCTTGTCCCAAAACCCTCTCAGAAGCAGGGACATGTTCATTCCCCAATATGCCACTAAGCATAAAGCACAGGCCTAGATCACTGCAGGTTCATAATAACTGTTGACAAAGCAATAAGGTTACAAATACTATCCTTAACTATTTAGTCCAGGATGAAAATTATCAGGAGGGCTGGTTGGGGAGCCTGTTCGCACATGCAAGGAGAAAGCACATGGGTGGAAAAAGTACACAGGTAGGAGAGCTTTGTTTTCTGCAGAGGCATTAAGTCAAAGATGTCATGCCTTTCTACTCCAAAAGAAAAGGCCACAAACATCAGAAATAAAAATGCATACAACTTAATATCACCAACAGTAATCTGATACAGATAATATCCTACAATTACTGGAAGGATCAATAGAGAACGCATTTGGCATATGACACCTGTAGAAAAGAATGGCCAATTAAAGTCTCCTTCCAAAGTGCTGAAGGGCTCAGATGCAAGACACCTTATCAATTCATTCAAAATAGTTACACCATCTCTGCCCAGGTAGGGACTGTCACACTCTGCCACCATCAGCTTAGTATACCAACCAGAAGTCCAGAGATGGAATCTCCTAACCAAGTTTTAAGTATTTTCAAGACAGGATGGAAACCAAAACTACCCCAGAAGTGAATTACATGTGTTAGGGAGAGACACTTCATTCACCATTCTACATCCAAAGATTCTCCAGGCAGGGGGCCTACGACTTTTATACGAGGATCTCTGAGGACCCACTCAGTGGGTCTCGTATTTGCCCCACCTATGAAATCCTACCATACACTGTGAACCTGACCACTGATTTCTTTATTCAGTACCCATTTTCAGAAAAAAACTCAGTCTTTTGGAACTTAAGCCAAGTTATCTGTCTAAACTTCCCATCTGCTACCACCATCTCCTTCCTCTCTCCCACATCACCCCCATCCCATTATCAAGGAGAGCAAGGAGGAGCATGGTACCTAAGAAACAGGATAAGACAGTGCTAAAGACTCCAGCCTGCATGCAGTTGGGCCTAGCAGTTTTCCTTGCTCTCTTGGTGCCACACATTCATGTTTCTCATGGGAGCTAGAAAAAAAGCAGTGGGTGCTCCATGTGGACACTATGTACCTCAAATCTTGTAGCAGTTGGAAAACTATAAACTAAGCATCTTATCTTGTAATTGCCTAGCTTACCATATGCTCAGACATAGGACCACTATTACTCTCCAGAATTAAACATTTTTGCTGGGTGTGTCTAGAGCTCAAGGACAGTCATCTTTTTATATGTGGTCATTTAAAAATAGAAAGCCAGTATTTAATGGAGACCAAGTTAGCAGTCTCCAAAATGATCCAGGGAGGTGTGAATGATCATGTACTACAGTATGGCAAGAAAATATTAAAGAGTCCATTAAAAAGATACTTTTAACTTTAAAAATATTCTTTATTCAAATTTAATGGATGCACTGCCCCCTGTATTCTCACTCAGTATCACTTATTCTCCTGAGGAAGACTGGGAAGTCCTCAAAGGGACAGTGACACTCTTCCCCTGTTTTGTAGCTTGGATATAATCCACTTTACAAATGACACATTAAGTGGATTTGGAGGATTAGATAGGGAAACCTAGCTATAATTAAAATAACCCTCAAAGAAGAGATAGCTTCACAAAGATTTTTATAAAAATCATCATCATCACAGTCAGGATGACACCAGTAAGAGAAGCCCAAATAAACAAAAATGGGAGAGCTAATTATTTCTCCTCTCCCTAGTAAAGTACACTATGAGGTTACATACAAAATAATCCAACATGAAGTTCAAAATTATCAAGGTAATTTTATGAATCTTGCTTTAAAGATATAGGATTTATTAAGATACAGGATAAATAAAATGTAAAGCTAGTCAACATGATAATAAAAGCAAGGCATTTAATAGATTTCTTTCATCTTTACCTGTATTTTCTATGTTTGATTAGCATTTATGAGTTAATGAATAGCACAAGTCCATGTTCACATAATTTATGAAAAAATATATACTGAAGATACATGTACAAACATTTTTCTGTCAACAGGAATACAACTCAGACTAGGCAATATTTTGAACAGAACCATTTATTTAGAGCATTCCCATTCCAAAGTTAGAGGTCTACAAAAAGATAACACCTTAGTTTCCAAGAAATTTAGCTGACAGACTGTAGGGAGGCCCACGTGCAAGTAGAAGGGGAAATGTGAAGTCAATTAAAGTCAGATAAAAATATAAAGAGATCACTAATAATAGGTAAGAAAGTGAAACTCTGAACTCTACAAATAATGGTTCTCAAAACTTCTCCAAAGTACTGGCCAAGATGTGCTCTGAAGTTAAACCGCAAGATCATCAACTTATCCCTTATTCCATTAGATGGTGTCATCTATTCTCTAAGAGAAAAAAAAAATTATTCAAGAGGACTGACACCAGCTTCTTCCAAAAGGAAATTATCATAGTGTAACCAGCACATGCCTTCAACACAATGTAAGAATGGATTTAAAAGGATCCTTTAAAAATGCATAAAAGCTTATAGAAGCAGGCACACAGGCAACATTAGACTAGATCACACTCAATAAAATTAAAGCTGCTCCATAAGAAGAGAGATGAAAAATTTGGCTGAAAGCTTAATTCTGACACCATGTCCCAAAAATGTACTTAAAGGGATTGAATTATACTATCCATCCAAATAAGGATGGTTTTATTTTGAAAACCATAGTCAATTAAGTGAGCATATTAGATCAGCAGTGCTCATGTTAAAATAATTATATGCATGGATTGAGAGTCATAAATTTCATGAGCCTACTTTTAAACTTTACCCTTATGCATGGGTTTTACTTTTTTTTTTTTTACCTTAAAAGATCTAGTGCATTTCATGAATATTAAAAATATCCTTGGCTATTATTATATTTATAACTTGCAATCTCTAATCTCTTTAAACTCTCAAGGTACTATGACAACATAAAAAACACAGCGAGAAATGTTCTAAGTGTCTGCTGGAAGGTGACAAATGGAAGGCTAAGAACATTTGGACACAGATGTTAGGGACAAAATATTTCTGTAATGATCTAGACTTGAATGAGAGAAGAGCAAAATACCAACAAAACAAGCAAGTCCTTAATTCAACAGTCTTTATGAAGAGAAAGGAGATTCAACCTTTCAACAGAAGGAAGGAGGGAAAAAATGAAGGTAAATGACAATCAAGTTTCTAAAATATTAAAGAAAAGGAACCAAACATTTATCAGGTTAAACCTGAACTCTGGGAATAAAGGCTCCCAATTTCTTCTAACACTTAGTCTAGACCAAGCACTTTCACTGGGCTCAAAAACTAGTTCATTACTTATTATCTACACAGAGATTATGGAAGGAAGGAACAGAGGGCAGTAGATACAAGAGTCAGGAATCTGAAAGAACAATAAAAATCTTCCCCATTTTCTGAAACCAAGTTTCCCTTACAACAGACAATTCTTATTCCCGTTTTCAGAATTTCTTTTTCTAAGAGTCAAGGAAAGAAGACTTTCAAGTTAATAGCATATGGAACAAAAAGATAAAAGCAAAGGATGGGCAGAAAGGTATTTAGAAATGATATTAAATTTGACCATCAGAACATTCTGGAAAGCTTTCCAAACCACAAGTTTGAAGCACAGAGAATGTACGGAGTGGGCTGGGTGGGGCTGTGTGCAAACACAGCAGTTTCCAGTTTTGTCTTTGAGTCTCCTGAATGCCTCACCATTGCAATGATCAGGTATTCTCCTGCAGATCCTGTCACCTTAGACCTGTGGTCCCGTGTCTCGCTCATCATTCAGGCCAGACTCTCAGAACAAAGTTTAACTTAATGACTACCATAAAATGAAACCAGAGTTTACACCAGAAAACACTAGAATTAATGAACAATTTAAAATGAGCACAGCTTTCAATTAACATGAAAAATTTTTATTTTCACAGGGTTGAAATCAACCAATGTCTCAAAGAACCTTCTTCCATGTAAACACAAAACTCTTTTCTAGATTCCAAAGAGCTCTAAAGTTAACTGGATAGGCTGTCCAGGAAACAACTCTAAAATTCCCTCAAGTTTGTGCAAAATTTGCAGAAAATTATTATTCACTTTAAGATGTCACACAGGAAACCAATAGGCAGAGCCTAAAATAAACAGTTTTATGAGATATCTTTCTCCACAAGCTGCTCCAATCCCTTTCTCCCTGCAGTCATAGCTACCATCTACTGTGGTCAAAGGCAGCAGTGTTACCTGACAATGCTTTAAAAAAAAAAAAAAAGTCAAAGTTTAAAGCAGAGCGTGAACACAGGCTCAATCAACTGGGTAACCCAGTTATCCAGTTTCAAATGGATCCTTTTGACAGTATCACCTCTTCTCCCAAGGCAAAAACTATCCTAAGTAGGAAAAGAACATAGTGTTTATGGCGAATTTCTTTCTCACACCTCAGGTGACACATTTTTTTTTTTTTTAAAAAGCAGGTATCTGACCGATTTAGCACTCTAAATATCCCAATGAAAACAATGCATGTGATTTAAGCTCAAAAACGTAACTGCTCATTAAGCTACATTTCTGATACTATTTTTGGTAATTAACTATTCTACCCCTGCAAGGAAAGAAAGAAAACTGATTTGCACTTGGGATTAAAAAAAAAAAAAAAATAGCATGGGGTTAGATGGATGGAATTATGGCTGCAGTATACCATATGGCCAAAAAGGACATTAAAAAATGTTCTGGAAAAACAACCTGGGTAGCTTTGCTTATGAAACCGAAGTTCTTTGTGCCGTGTTTAATGTCTTAAAGTCACTGTTCTCACATGCAGATTAGAGAGGTTTTTAAAACGACAGTTGATTTGATTGTTACCCCACGTCTAAAATAAAACTTGAAAAATTGAAATATTTATGCTGTCTACAAGATAGAATGTCTTCTTTGGACTAAAGATGCATAGTCATTCTATGGGACTATACAGGGGTCTGAACACTACCACCCACAGGCCAAATCCACACTGCCATCTGTTTCTGTATAGCCTAGGATTGAAGGATGGCTTTTACATTTTTAAGAGTTGTTTAAAAAAAAAAGATATATAAGCAACAGAGACCATGACCCTCGAAGCCTAAAAGATTTACTATCTGGCCTTTTATAGAGGAGGCTGGCCAGTGAACCCTTAAACAACAAGATATAAAAATTTTAAAAGGGGAGAGGAATCCATTTGTAGAAACTTAATGTTTTCACATAGGTTACATATTCTTGGTGGTGTACATATTATAAAACAAAGTAACTAAAAGTGCTTGACCTAAAAGCTGAAATACAAGAAGAAAATCTTACGAAGAAAAAAACTAGAAAGGGGAAATGAGAAGCACTGGAAACAGAAAGAACCCAGCAATCTGTCGGTCAGGGTTTTTCAACCTTGCAGAACTATTGTTTGAAGCTAGATGATTTGCTGCTGTTGGGGACTATACTGTACACTGTAGGATGTTTAGAAGCATTCTTGACCTCTAACCACCAGATGCCAGTAGCAAACCCCACTCAAGTTTGCCCACATAAATGTCTCCAGATGCTGCCAAATGTCCCAAGGAGCAAAATTACTTCCCAGTTGAGAACAACTGCTATAGCTTATTGTCCTTTTTTGTTACCACCTTCCATATTAGCAAAAGACACTACACCTCAAACAGGTTTTCTTTGTGGCCATAAGAAAAAGAAAACAACAGTAAGAGCAAACCAGAATCCGGTCAATAAAAGTACTGCATAGTGAACCTCAGATTCTTAGTAGCTGGGTGCAAGAACCAGACCAGACTTACCTAAAACGCTGTGCCTGCTGAGCTAGTGGTCCTGGATACCTTCTGTTTGGAGACTGGTACAGCTGGGAAAGGATGGCCTGATTGGTTTTTTGGCTTGGATTATTAGCAAACTTTACAGTGATTGGCTCTGTGGCACCAGGAGGTTTCTGGCCATTTAGGCCTTTGATAGCTTCTTCTGCCTCAATCCGCTTGTCAAATCGAATAAACCCTACACCCCTTGATATGCCTATTGGTAGATGTGGGTAAGGATTTGGGAAAGAGGGAGTGGAAGGAGAGGGAGGGAGAGAAGAAAAGGATAAATTAATTTTTCCTTCTCAAAAACATGTTTTCACCCACATATAACATCTGCCACAAATCAGAGCAGGAAAGTCTTACCTTACCTTAGTAGCAATTCAGTCTAGATCACAATTTTATAAATTTTTCAATGCATAAAGTCATCTATACAATCTGAATATCCATTATTACATGCCTACCAACAAGCCAAGACAAACAGCACTCGGGATGTCCACATTCTCCATACCTGCCATCTTCGCGCTCTCTCATATACAACCTTGCCTTTAATAATGTCAACAACAGCATGCCTGAGTCCTAGTTCTCAAATTATGCTATCAGATAAGCAGCTCACAAATGAAGGGCACAGCAGCTTCCTTTCTTATAAGGAGAAGAGAACAAGGCATTTGGATAAAAAATGCTAAAAAGCTGTGCTAAAAATACATCACAGTGGTTGAAAGAGATTTCAGCTAAATTTTTAAATAATAAAGTTCCACTTAACAATATTACATAGGATACTGGCCCTCTAAGAAAAATGTCTGAAGAGGCTTCTCTGATTCCCTGAAACTCTCCCACTGCTTTTAACTAGCTATACTTTATGAGAGAAGCAATATTATAAGGCAAAAAGGGGATCAAAGAGGACCTATATTTTTAAAACAAAGAAAATAGAAATAAAGCCTCAAAGCTTTCTAGCTCTAGCAGTGTTACTCCTGTGGAAATGCCATCTTCTGTCTCATGTTCTCCCCACTCTGAGACACAAAAAAGGAAAGCAGAGGGATGGCCAAATACCTGCCCAACTAAAAACCCTATCCATTTTATTTAATTAGCTTAAATGGGCTGGTTGAGGTAGCCATGGCTGGCCATCCAGAGAAACAATTGTAGAGAAACACTTTCTTGGCAAGCAAATTGGTACTAGCCATACCAGCTTGGGACTAGTAGCTAGAAAAGTCTAGATGATTCAGAGTATGTCAATGAAGAACAGAATAAGAGGTTATTGAGAGAGATAGGCTGAGAAAATGTACTTAGACCATCAGGACTTACAGGAACTTTAAAAAGGAATGAAGTTCTACTTGCTTTGTAATTAACACTGTGTAAGTTCAATGGCTTAGAATGTTATTTTAAGGTGGAGAGGCATTTCTTCCATATACATTTATCTCAGGTCTTTCCTATTTAAGTTGTATCAGTTATACATTATTACCACCTGATGGCTGAATAACAAAATTGCAGGATTTTCCATTTCAGGTAAAGTGAATAATTTCACCCTGAAAATTTTAAGTATAAAGAAAAAATAATATGGTGAAATGATAGTAAATATATCCTTTTAGTTATCCACTAATATGAAGAATTAATAACCACTAGAACTTAACTATTCCACAGGGAAAGCATTTGATTAACAGACTGAGTCACTTAAACCTGGGGTACTCTAATCTGAGTATGCATAAGAATAACCCAAAGCAGGGCACCTGGGTGGCTTAGTCAGTTAAGTGTCCAACTGTTAGTTTCGGCTTAGGTCATATCTCATGAGATCAAGCACTCAAGTGGGGAGTCTGCTTGAGATTCTCTCCCTATGCCCCTCCACTCACTTGTATGCTCGTACTCTTGCATGCCTGCGTGAGTGCTCTTTCTCTCTCTCTGAAATAAATCAATCTAAAAAAAAAAAAATGAATAACCCAATGGCTTGGTACAACACCCACCTTCAGAGTTAAAAAGATGGGCTTTCTATACTAGAGGTGAAATCTACTTCTCCATCCAAGTTCTCACTAAGAATAAGGAATTAAGAGGCACCTGGGTGGCTAAGTCCACTAAGCAGTTAAGCATCTGCCTTCAGCTCAGACCATGATCCCAGGGTCCTGAGATCGAGCCCCACATTAGACTCCCTGCTAAGTGGGGAGTCTGCTCCTCCCTCTCCCTCTGCTACTCCTCCTACTTGTACTTACTCACTCTCTCTCTCAAATTTAAATGATGAATTAAAAAGCATGAATGATATGAACCCAAAAAAACGGCATTTCTGTTGCTTTAAGCAAATTTATCTGGATTGCTAAACCTGATTTCTTCTATTTAACTGATCATCAGTCTGTGTGATATAGCAGAGTGACAGAATGTACAAGGAAAATTATAAATGCAGCTATGACAAAAAGACCATATTTTTACATTCCTTCCATAGACTACATTTTCTTCATACAACAAAACCTATAGCCATTTGCCCAAGCATGTATATGAAGGTAGATATCTCTCTACCCAGAACTCTAACAGTGATGCCTCTTATGCAGTGAAGCCAATTAACAGCACTGAGGAGAACAAGGGCTGCTTCTGTTCAAACTGAGATCAACTAAACTGATTTTCACCTGAAAACTTAAAAACTTGGCCTGATTTTAATCTGTAGTTAATCTACTGCTTTAAAAAAAAAAAAGATTACAGCAGAAATAAATGACATTGAAACCCAAAAAAAACAAAAAACAAGAGAACAGATCAATGAAACCAGGAGCTGCTTCTTTGAAAAGATCAACAAAATTGATAAACCTCTAGCCAGATTCACCAACACAAAAGAGAGGACTCAAAATCAGAAATGAAAGAGGAGAAATAATGGTCACCCACAGAAATACCAAGGATTGTAAGACATTATCCACTGCTTCCTTTAGAAAGGAAATAGACACTGTAATATATGATACATCTCCTCTGGTGGTATCAGAAGAGAGAGAAAAAGGAAAAAAACAGGGAAATTGAGAGGAAAGGAAACACACAAAAAAATTAAAGGAAAACCTATGTTTTCCCCAGAACCCACAAAATCTTAATGTGACTGCTTGAGTACATGGCATTATGGTTGATTTTCCCCTGCTTACCATGTTTCTCTGTTTTCAGTATGTTTTTAAAAAGAATAGCATTGTTTTCATAACAGAAAATTACAATTTATTCTTAAAATCCATAATCAAACCTGTACTGCTAGCTTTTTAGCTTTTCTTTAAAAGCTTTGGTAGGAAAAAAAAAAAAAAAAAGCTTTGGCAGAAGAGCTCCCTTATAAAGTTTTAATAAACCTATCTGTCTTCTGATTTTCGTTTGGTCAAAAGTTCTACCAGGAATTAAATAAATTTTTAACATTCAAATTTCAAACTCTTATACATGCCCATGTAACACAGCATGGACCTGGAAACCGTCCTGAACAGCCAGTGCAGACACACCGTTATCCTCCCTTAGAGAACTAGGTACATACTGCTGCATCAAACTACATTTTTATACAAAAAACAAGACTATTTAGTAGGAGGAGCACTTTATGAAGAGGATGGGGGCTTTTTTTCATGCAGCAGCTTGGAAATGAGGATTATATCATCTACAAATTTATTACATGCCATAAAACAGACTTCCAACCTGCCCCTTCGGGGTGGAAATGACTCAAGCTCGCTTACTCCACTCCACAATCTATTTTTATCCATGCATATTTATGAACAATTCCAGCAGAAAATTGCATTTTCTGGTCCACATATACCTTTGATGTGTTCTAGAGGCAAGACTGCTGTATGGAAAGGCAGAGTATTTCCACAATCTGCCACTCAGAAATTGTAAAAGATTGTCTAGACCAGATGCCTACTTACCAGTGACCTGGTCAACAAGAATACGAGAAGTAATGATGCGTCCATATTGTGAAAAAAGCTGTTCCAACTCCTTCTGGGTCATTGTTTTCGGAAGTCCACTGACGTACAAATTTGCATCTCTGATAGAAGCTGAACTTGGGCGAGCATAGGAAACCTAGGAAAGGAAAATGAAATTAAGCATATACACATCCTCTGTTACCTGCCTTCAGAAACTCAAAGACTATCTAAAGTTAGTTAGCAGCTTTTCCATACAGAGCACGTAACAAACAACGAAGTTAAAGCAAGTCTAGCGTTAACAGTTTTACTCATTTCTGGAGAAATGCTCAACAAATGAGAAATGTCACGCCCCCAGAGAGGGAAAAGAGAGAATATTTAGCCCTAGGTTTGCACGTTTTCAAAACAAACTACATAACACAGTAATACTCATGGTAATAGGTTGTCTTCAATGGGGCCAACCCCCTAAACTAGAAATGTAGGCTCAAATAGTTAAGCTTAAAGACTCTAAATCCAACCAACATATTTTTGTGACCTGTTTTTGAGCCTCTCCCATCTCTGTAGGTGGTGGTACAAAGTTTCCAAAAAGTCACACTACTTAATCAGTAAGTACACCTTTTTGATTCATTGCCAAAATAACTTTCTATCATCCCAAAACTCTCAGAAATTTAAAATACATGAATGAGCTATATCCCTTGTTACTCATCTTCTTTTAGTACACAAGTCTCTGTAACATTGATTTTTCCAAAAGATCTTAAGTCCCTTTATTGGTTCTACCTACCATTTTATGTATCCTTTCAAAATGCTTCCTCTCTTTAAGATATAATGTCCAAAATTCTAGAAGGATGGAAGACAAAGTAAGTCTGCCTGTATTTATTTGTAATCAACATTCTTCATGTAACCTCCATGCCTTAAGGAATTACATCTCTTTCTTATCACTGATATCCTCAATACCTTGGCATGTGATAGATGCCTGAATATTTGCAGAGTAAAACCCATTTAATACCCCACTGATCCTGTGGTCCACAGTAACCGCTAGATCAAGGATTTAAGGGACAGTTCATGCAGTCATTGAGAGCGTGCCCAAATTATAATCTACAGCTCTTTGCCTACAACTATCTCTGCCAATTTTTAGATAGCTCTAAATTTCATGTGCTATTCCTAACCACATTCCCTCTCGTTTAATTCTGAGCTTTTTTGGGCTATCTAAGTCCAAGAACTTCACAATATTACCCACCCCCCACCTACCCCCACCTTTCAGATCATTCATAAAAATGGCAATGGGTCTGGTCTAACTTAGATCAATTTGTTCAGGGATCATAACACGGTAACTTCTGCTTGCTACTTTTATCTATTAGTATCCATCTTTAATCTAGTCCACTGTTCACTGCAACAACAACAAAAACATCTTTTCCATTTAAACAAGCTTTTGGTATTTTCAAACATTTTCTCCATGGTTTACATTACGCCCACAGTGTTATCACCTTTTTATTTTTGGCTTTTCAGAAAAAGTTAGTCAGGTTTTATACTACTTTAAGAAAGTCTTGTTATCTTTCATCCCTGCCCCACCGTGTTAACATTTAATACTCTTAACCTTTATTCAACAAATTTGCTCATTAACAAATGAAAATATACCTATTTGTCCAAAGACTATATCTGAGTCACGTGAGGACTGTCCTGTCTTACAGACACAAGGAATTTGGAAGAGTGGTGGAGAGCAGATACATTAACTATTCACATGTGCTTTCTGTCTATGCCTAAACACTTAAGAAGAATGAAAGTTGGGAAACTTCAATGTAAGTGAAAAATAAGAAATGAAAGAAAATTCCTAGTGATCATCAAAATAATTCAAGTGAAATCTAGTCTTAGGACTGCTATAAACTGAAAACACAAAGCAAATGAATTACATACATACTCAGTGGTATAGAAAAATGAATACCCAATTTCTTTCCTAAAGCACAATTCTCAATTATCAGGGTAAGCTAAAAATCTCACCACTTCAATTCTTGCTTTCAGCGGCAGGGAACTCTTAGCAAGTTAGCAGTTAGTCTGCCCTGGATCACGTGACTGAAGTGCTCCCCTAAGAAGAGCCACCTCCCACAGGCAACAGTGTAAGCATCTGTACATTCTCAAAGTCGCAAGGCTCCCTTCTCAGGGAGGATGAAGCAAGCCATGGAGCAGGTGGCCACTCCATGAGCTTAAGCAAGGCATGAGATAGTGTAATATGGTTATAGGTGACAGCTCTCTAACCAGAGTGCCGGGACTCAAAACTATATTCAATTCATTGAAGGCTCTGTGAACTTGCATAAATTATTTAAGTCTATTACCACATAACTGTACATTCTTTGTATAGTTACTAGGATTAATAAAATAATTTCTAATCTACACAAAACTTTTAGCATAGAACCTAAAAACCTAGCTGACTATAAATACTATTTACTGCTACATGCATCTGAGAATATAGGTAAAGACACAGACCATTAAAGCTGAGAGTAACCTGAGTCCATTACAATGTTCCAGAATAATTTACTCATGCAGTGACATTTACTGCTCTGTGCATTTCAGAGGAGTGTGGGTGGAGTGTTTTAAAAGTTATCCTAAAATATATTTAGGAAAACCGGTTTATATTTAGTGCTTATATAAAAGCTTTGAAAACATACTTGGGTCAGTTATGTTATCTGTTTTTTTTTTTTTTCTTCAAGGTCTAGTCTTAGGTTTACATTGGTCCTTTAACTCTCAGCCTGTACTGACAATAATTTTCTATATTCTTGATGCTCTAGCATCGGGAGCCATTTATCCTGGAGAGACTGCCCCTCCCAAGGATAGCTATTTCTTGGATAGTAAATGACTCCCCTGTGAGCAATGCCTTTGATATATATAAATAACCAACCCAGAGCCCACAGCCATAACTCCTTTATCAAATTCTCACACACCAAGCCTATTTGCCCTTTCCTAATCCTAGGGCCAGATGCCTGACAACTTGGAATCCCAATCCCAAGTCAAGCTAGAGTCCTCCAAAATTATTCAAATTAGCCAATGCTAAACTTAATCAGCACACCTACCCTGCCTCACCCTTTCCTTCCCACTAGCAACTCCAACAAAAGTTCTAAACCATGCTCCACCCTCCTCTCTGCCTCTTGACTATCCCTGATGCTTCCCCATGTGGCCCTACAAGTCATGTTGCACCCTATTTCCAAAGATCTGTAACTATAAACTTCTACTTTCATAATAATTTCCATATCTATATGTCCTACCATACCTTATTAAAACAAACCCTAGGTATATTTTTAGAACGCAGCTACATTAAAAGAGCTCCAAGAACCAATAATAAGCTTCCTCAAGACTTATTTTTCAGTAATTTTGTAAAAGAACTGGTTCCCATCACTACAGGCAAGATAGAGGTGACTACACTGCATATAAACTCACGATAATAAGAAATAATATTTCCATTTAATTTAAACTTAAGGACTTACAAGACTACACCATGTGCAAAGCATTTTTAAGCAGTGTTTTGTTTGTGGTAGGTAAGGCACACATTAATATATTACAGCTGGGCACATAGGTATAGACAAGGTAAATAACATGCCTAATGTTAAATACCACTAGATTCAAACTGATCCTTCTGACCCCATATCCTTGTATCTTTGTCCAGTTTTCTTTCTACAATTTACCACACTATAGTAAATTTTGTTCTGAAAGTGTGGAAAAATTAAATGGATCTTGGCTATTTCTTACACATATAGTCAAACTGAGCTAAGGCAGCAGAAAAGAGACTGACACTAGAAATAATTGTTAAGTCAAAGTTATTTTATTTCATTTTCCATTAATATTTTCTAAAAAGTAACTTCTCCCAAGAATGAGTGGTCACTAATTGAGATTCACTGCAGAAACTGCACATGATGATTAGCATTTTTAAATTAGCTTTATTACTTTCTAATTCTTAAAATGAATTAAATGAGCAATATCATCTCCTCACTAACCGTCATCCACTTCCAAGAAATAAAAACGTAAGGAAGGGCAACCATCCCTCTCCCAGACCAAGGGGCCATGTGTCACCTCCATACCTTTGTTTCCTCAGGATTAACAAGCCCTTCCTCTGCTCTATCAAGGACACCACTGTCAATAACATCCTCCCTTCCAAGACAGGCAAAATATTTCTTCTTCTTCTATCTCAAAGGATTATAAACAGAATGTGTACTTAGATCAAAGTAGGAAGAAGACTTCTGCAGTGGAAGACAGATTTGTACTCTGGAGATTCCAACCAGTTTCCAGACAAAATTTTATATCTAGCAATTATCAGCAAATTTCTCCATTCGTATTCTTCTGTGGATGTGGAATTTCTACTGGTGCCTTGAATCACTCAGAAAACTATTCTTGGGCTAACTTAAACTTTAAAGTGTTATGTCTATTTTTATGGTTCTTCAAGGTTAAAACCTCTTGAAGAAGATGCAAGAGATGGTTTTGTTTTATGGCAAACTATGTATTAGAAATACTTCAATACAATGAACCTTCAGCGTATGTCCCAGTGGGGTCAAAATAGCTTCTTCCTTCACCAACTGCAAGCTGTTCTCCAATCTACTTTCACTGGATTAATAGAATGGGTTTGGATTTTAAATTTTCACCACCATTTAAACAGGTGAATATTTAATGCCTGAGGAACAAGGTTATGAAATGTCAAAACTACTAAGTGAAGGATCTAATTTAAGAGGCAGCCAGAGAGTCTGCAATTTAAATATTTAAAGATGATACAGGGAGTACAACACTGAACACCAATCTACTCCAAAGATAGCAATTTAAAACTCAGGTTTTTTCTAGAATTTCTCACAATCCTACAAGTGATATAATAAACAAAGACAAGCAATACTGAGATTACTTGAGGGGAAGGAAGGGAAGCAGTTAGAAGTATAGACAAATAAATGCTCTAGCCAATGGCTTCTCAAATTGTTCTTCAAAATGAGATCATGCTGGACAAAACAGATAAAAATAGTTTTATCAAAGTAATTGGGTCTTGAAAATGGAATAGTTTGAAACAATATATTCTTTGTAATTAAAAATGCATTTCTTCATCAGCAACTAAAACTAATTATACATTAAACATTCAAGGACAAGTAACATATAGACTAAGAATGGGCTATCAAAACACAGGTTAATCAAAATACA